GACTCAGTAGCTAAGTGGATAACGCGATGGCGTTTGAAGCGAACGGTACTGAGTTCGAGTCCCAGAGTGAACATCAACTCTGAGATGCAGGTACATCCAGCTGACGAGTCCCAAACAGGACGAAACGCGCGTCCTGGATTCCACTGCTAGCCACTATCCATCTTTGCTTATAATGCTTGTAAATTTAGGCAATATCGAGGCATACGCACAGTATGCACATATGCCAATAAGAGACTGATCAATTTCAGTCCAAAAAACATCAATGGGAAAATTCAAGTAAAACAATATCAAGTGAATTCAACTTCAACCCATTGCACAAGCAAGTGGCTATCAGGACTCAGTAGCTAAGTGGATAACGCGATGGCGTTTGAAGCGAACGGTACTGAGTTCGAGTCCCAGAGTGAACATCAACTCTGAGATGCAGGTACATCCAGCTGACGAGTCCCAAACAGGACGAAACGCGCGTCCTGGATTCCACTGCTAGCCACTATCCATCTTTGCTTATAATGCTTGTAAATTTAGGCAATATCGAGGCATACGCACAGTATGCACATATGCCAATAAGAGACTGATCAATTTCAGTCCAAAAAACATCAATGGGAAAATTCAAGTAAAACAATATCAAGTGAATTCAACTTCAACCCATTGCACAAGCAAGTGGCTATCAGGACTCAGTAGCTAAGTGGATAACGCGATGGCGTTTGAAGCGAACGGTACTGAGTTCGAGTCCCAGAGTGAACATCAACTCTGAGATGCAGGTACATCCAGCTGACGAGTCCCAAACAGGACGAAACGCGCGTCCTGGATTCCACTGCTAGCCACTATCCATCTTTGCTTATAAATTGTATTGTTTAGAAACTCATTCAGTTCTTTCAATAATAATAACGATGCATGTGATATTAAAAACAGGTTTAGACAAGAGATAGGTTCCAAATTTACTTGTCAAACGAAATTTGCCAGGTAGTTGCCATTTGAATACCATCTTTTCGGTTCAGGCTGTTCTTGTTCGCCCATATATGCAGAGCTTCTGCTGTCAATCTTTCTTTATGGGTGTTAAAACCTTTCTGAAGTATTTTGGTCCCTTCAAAATTAATCTTGTGTCCTGTTTCTAACGCATGTAACGCTATCGCCGACTTATTTTCAAGTTTCTTTAAATCTACCGAGGATTTTGGAACATTTTTCAAGCATTGGTTGTGTTCCTTCAATCTTACATTTAATTGCCTGGATGTTTCTCCAACATAGGTAGCATTACAGTCATGACAGTGAATCTCATACACAATGTTCTGTTGTTCTTCCTTTGCTAACTTATCCTTAACTTTCACCAATGTCGATCTTAATGTGTTATTTGCTCTAAAATACACTCTTATATCACGTTTGTTTAGAATCCGTTTGATTTCTTCTGATGTTTCACTCCGGTAAGGTATGACTACGGTGTACTTCCATTCTTTTCGTATACTTTCTAGTTTAGTTTTTCTTTCATTTTTAATAATCTTTTTTAAAAACCTTTTTGGGTAGTTGTTATCCCTAAGAGTAGAAAACACTTTATTTAATTCGGTTCGTTGGTCTTCCTTGTCTGTAACAATCTTAGTACTTCTGTTCATTAGATTTTTTACCACATTAATTTTCGTGCTCTGTGAATGGGCTGAATTAAAATCTAAGTATCTCTCGGAATGCGTTGATTTTCTGTAGACATTTATTTTTAACTTCTTATTATTGTGTCGACGTTCAACCAGACAATCTAGAAATGCTAGTTTGCAGTCAACTGATTCTAATTCCTTAGTTAGTTTAATGTTTTCAGAAATGCTGTTTGCATTGTTAAATAGTTCTTCCATACCATCCCGTTTATTGATAATAAAAATGTCGTCTACATACCTTAACCATAACTTTGGTGGACATAAACTCTTTGCGATTGCACTAGTTTCTAGGGAATGCATGAATAAATTCGCTACAATCGGAGGAACTGGTGAGCCCATTGCTATACCCTCTTTCTGTCTGTAAAGTTGACCTCGAAATATGAATAAGGTAGATCTTAAACATAATTCTAAGCATTTTATAACCTCTGATGGATCTAATGGGCATCGTAAATTCAAATCTAAATCAAATTCTAAATAATCATTGATAATATCCATAGCTCGACTGATAGGTACATTAGTGAATAAGGAAGATACATCAAAACTTGCCATTATTTCGTCCTCTTCTATATCGATGGTATCAATTAAATTCTTGAATTCCATAGAGTTTTTAATTCCATGATTAATTCGTTTTTCATATGGTTTGAGAATCTTAGCTAAATATTTAGCTAGATTGTAAGTCGGTGAATTTGTATAGTCTACCACTGGTCTTAGTGGAGTATTATTCTTGTGGATCTTTGGTAGCCCATAAAATCTGCATGGATTGCAACTCTTTGGATATAACATAAACCATAAGGACGATTCTAGCTTAGCTTTTAATGACTGTAAGAGTTTGCTAGTTTGCGCCTTGAGTTTATTAAGAGTTGTTCTACTTTTCGCTTCTTTGATTTGTTCATATGGACCCTCTTGTAGATGTTCTTTGGCTTTGTTCTCATACTCTGTTTTATTCATAATAACTGTAGTATTACCTTTATCTGCTCTCGTTATTATGATCGTTTTGTCCTCTCTCAGCTGTTTTAATGCGTAATATTCATTTTTATTTATGTTAGGGTTGTGAGGTTTCTGATGTAATAATGTGTTCATTATTTTATTCCTCAGTTCATTCGCTGTATCATTCGGGAGTATATTCAGCGCTGGTTCTACTGTTGGTATAACATTGAAAGGTGTTAATTTATGTCTATTTATATTGAAGTTGAGACCCTTTTTGAGTAATGATATTTCATGTGGGTTGAGAGGTCTATCCGATAAATTAACAATTATTTTATTCATATCATTTGTGTTAGATCTATTTTCCGTCTGTTGAACTTTGGTGTTTGATGAATGTTTCAATAGTTTTTCAAACTTCCTAATTTGTCGTTGTTTTGATGATTGATAATAAAATTGTTCTCTATGTTTGAAAAATTCAACTATATATGATCTTATTTCGTTCGGTGCGATAACTGACAATATGTCATCGATATTACAAACCCTTGAACGTAGTGCCTCCAAATTCATAGTGGCCTTGTGTATACGTTCTCTAATAAATGTTCTAGTGGCTGATATCGCCGCTTTGATTGACCGAATAGAATTGTCTGGAGATTTGACCATCAGAGATTTTATTATCAATAAACGGGATGGTATGGAAGAACTATTTAACAATGCAAACAGCATTTCTGAAAACATTAAACTAACTAAGGAATTAGAATCAGTTGACTGCAAACTAGCATTTCTAGATTGTCTGGTTGAACGTCGACACAATAATAAGAAGTTAAAAATAAATGTCTACAGAAAATCAACGCATTCCGAGAGATACTTAGATTTTAATTCAGCCCATTCACAGAGCACGAAAATTAATGTGGTAAAAAATCTAATGAACAGAAGTACTAAGATTGTTACAGACAAGGAAGACCAACGAACCGAATTAAATAAAGTGTTTTCTACTCTTAGGGATAACAACTACCCAAAAAGGTTTTTAAAAAAGATTATTAAAAATGAAAGAAAAACTAAACTAGAAAGTATACGAAAAGAATGGAAGTACACCGTAGTCATACCTTACCGGAGTGAAACATCAGAAGAAATCAAACGGATTCTAAACAAACGTGATATAAGAGTGTATTTTAGAGCAAATAACACATTAAGATCGACATTGGTGAAAGTTAAGGATAAGTTAGCAAAGGAAGAACAACAGAACATTGTGTATGAGATTCACTGTCATGACTGTAATGCTACCTATGTTGGAGAAACATCCAGGCAATTAAATGTAAGATTGAAGGAACACAACCAATGCTTGAAAAATGTTCCAAAATCCTCGGTAGATTTAAAGAAACTTGAAAATAAGTCAGCGATAGCGTTACATGCGTTAGAAACAGGACACAAGATTAATTTTGAAGGGACCAAAATACTTCAGAAAGGTTTTAACACCCATAAAGAAAGATTGACAGCAGAAGCTCTGCATATATGGGCGAACAAGAACAGCCTGAACCGAAAAGATGGTATTCAAATGGCAACTACCTGGCAAATTTCGTTTGACAAGTAAATTTGGAACCTATCTCTTGTCTAAACCTGTTTTTAATATCACATGCATCGTTATTATTATTGAAAGAACTGAATGAGTTTCTAAACAATACAATTTATGTTTTGACATGCACATCGATGTTTCATTATCAAGCTTTTCATCCTTGAACTTGAACTTTATTCATTCCTTCATATCAATCTCTCACACATACATACATACATACACACTCACTCACATACGATTTGTTACTCAGTTAAGTATTTCCATGTAGTTGAATTCATCACATGATTTGTAGTCAACTGACTCATTTTATCCTATTTTACAAAAAATCAACACCCAAATATGATTGGTTTAACACAGTATAATCCTGATTGTTAAAAGCTATATATTTCTTTGATAATTTTGATTTTGATTATTACCCTGAAGAAGTCCAGACAAGTTAGCTGGACGAAACGTTGGAATTAGTTATATTTCAATCGCTGAGAATATTTCAAATATAATTTTCACATATAATAATTGCAAGATACTTATATAAACTTATTCACAAATATCGACACTATTAGTGCTAAGTTGTATTAAACATCGCTTGTCATCAAACCACTTCATATTCCTTTTTCATCAGCATAGGACGAGCAGTGCAGCCATATGCAATGTCATCCCTTATTATTTTCCATTTTAGGAAGTAGGGAAAATTTTTCCGCTTGTTCATGTACCCAGTTACTTACAAACATACGAAGAAAGTTTCCCAAACTTCGTATGCTTCCGAAAAACTTTCTGACAATTACCCGTCTTCGGCTTAGGACCTAGCGAATAACTTAACAGTAACGGGTTCACTAAAATAACTAACCCGTTTTTTACACACAAAACCGAGATCTGAACTAGAACGTAATCATTTAATCGTTTTCTTATAAATTTACTCTGGGAGGGGTGTTAATTTTTAACAAGCTGCTTAAAGGAGATAATCAAATAGACTATTTGTAACTCATGTTTCAAGTGAATCTGAGAAACGGTACTTAATATTGTGATAACATTTGGTAAGATAATAATACTAGACAAGAGTTATCAGACGGAAATGAAAATAAACAATATTTTCTTTAAAAGATTTCAAATATACTACGATCCACTTAAGTTTTTTTTAATTAGTACAGCTACATTGATACATAAATATTAGATAGAAAGAGATTGAAAAATACGACCAGAACTTTGAATTAAGTAATGGAAAATGACTTGAAGGTACATTTACGTTACAGAAGCATTGGATACATGGATGAATAAATATGGACAGAAACGAAGGTACAGGATTAAACATGAATGCACAGTTAATGATATCATTTAATTTTAGAACAGGTAAACAAAACGTTGAGTCCATTTCAAATGAATATTTCAGTTAATGAATTTATGCATGAGTATTAGTAAAATAAAAATATGGAATATAGGAAGGAGAACCGAAAATGGAATGGAAAGAATACGTACACACATACACAGAAACAAAACCTAAATACAAACAAATACATTTGTTATGATCACATTACAATACATTCCGTTGAATTAGTTCTGATCCGAGAAAATAAATCAAGCTTTATTTTGATTAGTTATTCTAGCCGATTGGTCAGCTCGATTAAATGCATACTTAGTTATTGCCAACACTAAGCATACCATAATCAATGGAGATAAATCACGCGGTTGTCCAATAAAACTCCGTAGACGAGTTAAGAAAGTCGATACAATTGTTGGATCGTGTGGACGAAGACGCTGGCAAAAGACGAAATTTTTAGAAAAATGAGGAAAGTAGAACACTAATGAAATAAGACTATATTGAAATATTCACTAAAATAAAGAGCACAATAATGATAATCACATTTCTTATACTATTCAGACTTGATATATATATATATATATATATATATATATATATATATATATATATATGTATAATTCATTTAAGTACATAAACATTGGTACAAGAAGGTACCAAATATGTATGCACCATATAAATCAAATGATGTGTGAGGGCTGGGATACTGTCTGGGCGCCCAAACCAAAGCAGGTAGTTTTCTGAACCTTCGACCTAGAGGTCTAATCCACAAGGCAGTGGAGCAACGTTAGGAAAAGCAGTTCCATGGTATATATATACAAGTATGACATGAATGTTAACAATTAAAAATAAATGACCCCAATCAGAACTACATTATTCCTAGAATAAATTCAATCTAAAAGTTACTCAGTAATATTTGATGCAATTGCGAATACGATTAATAAAGTGAGGTTTTTAAGCTCTCGGAAAAACAACGCCACTACTACTACTACTACTCACATTCATCTTATGGTTCTAATCAACTGCAATCAACTGTTAAATGTGGTTGAAGAAAAAATGAACTTACGCGACAATTATATGTACATTAAAATACAACGGAATGATCAATGGATAAGTCCTTTTTGATAACGCATAGAATTTCAGAAAATTCCTAATCTTCCTAATTACAGCTATAACGGCTCAACTAAGAAAGATTGAGGTAGGTGACGATTGACAATCTATTCAAAGAATCAAGTCTCATATCCCTCAACCGAATAGACATTAGGAAATACATAACTACTTACGGTAAAACTAAACTACACTAACGACATTGAATGAACCAACCAGATTCAAGATAGAGGCACTTGGATCGTTACACAACATTCAAACAGCGAAGAATGGCACGTACAGGTATTAAGAACTAAGTAAAAATTGTCTATATCTATTTTTTAAATCTTCCTTACAGCCGTAAAGTGAATGAGTCATGGTGGGTGTTAAGTCCTCTACTTGATTACGATATACAACTAACGGTACTCGAACATGTAGAACCCCAACAGTCCCAAATTAGAAGACGGAAGGAACAGAGGAAGTGATTATTGGGTAAGAATCAAAAAATGTACAGGAAAACATGGGCATTTATAGTTATTGGTGTTGGTTATAACATCATTATAATTCAGCCACGTTGATATTCTAGAAGTCTATCAGGTTCTGAGTGGATGGGATCTCTTCGACTCCTTTAGAGCCTCGAGAGGCTTCGTCGTACTTTTCGAAGCCGTCCCAACAGTGGGTAAGTTAAGTCACAAAATATATCTGCTCCACAAGTAGAATGTATTCGAGAGTACTTAGTGTGACTCAATGCATACTCAAAAGTATTCATCTAGATAAAAGCCATTCTCCGACTGTAACACACACATACAAATCTAGCCCAACTGTTAATATCAATCGCTAATCTTTTTTGCTTACTATATATATTAGATATAATTCAAAAAATTAGAGCTTATTATTCAAATTAAAACTATTTAACCACTGTAATTTTATCAATTCTTATTATTAATTATTTTGTAATTAAATATTGTCTTCTGATTGGATGGTAAATCTCTCAAGGTCGTAGGTACAGTTTAGTTCTATCTTACTCAATGATCAACCAACTAGATATGTAAATATTAGATGATTAAAGCTGTTATTTATCGACAAAACCTTTAATCAAATTAATATAACTTGTTACATGACAAAAATGGTGAATCAATGGTAAAAATGAAGTTTATGGAGGAGCTAATTCTTTAGTTCTGTTCATTGAAACTAATAAACCTATTTATTGTCATCAACTCTTTCTTCTGTGTATGACTTCTTGTCTAAGAGCAAAACATTAGCTTCTCATTATTGAACAATAAAGTCTAAAGAATTTGTGTTAAAACATGTTGAGAGAAAATAATTTAATTTAATCTTCTTATTGCTCATCAAGTTGACAATTATGTTTTACACATTTCGTCTCATACTATTATTTTTCTTCAACTTCTCAACTGTTCTGCAAGTCATTTTACACAATTGAAATTATGTAACCCTCTTAATATTTTTCAATAGAGTACTTTGTTTGTTAGATTATTATATTTATACGATTTTGTATAGCTGAAGAAGAAACATTTTTCTTCAGTAAATTGTCATTAGTTTTGAAAATTGCATGTTACGTGAAAAAAAAGTAATTAGATCTTAATAGAAACAACATTTTTTACAGGTAGATTTACAATTGCTTTGAATAATAATGCTAGAAAAAACAATTATAAATTAATTGTAAAATTTGAAACGTACGCGCTTTCCTACTAAACCATTTTCTTCAACAGCGTTACGTAATATTTCAGAAGACAATGTGACCGGTGGCAAGTATTCAGATTTGAATGTACGTTTCCACCAATCTTTGCTAAAATCATAAAATGAAAAAATGACAATTAATTTAAAATAAGTGTCGTCACTAAATGAAAGGATTTTTACAAAATTAAAAGTTTCATAGAAGTATACTTGGAGATCTGAAGCGAACATAATGCATACACGAGTCTTATTAAGATAATCTATAGACCTGTGACAAAGTCGAAATCAACGAATCAATTCAGAAAATTGCCAGAAAAAAAGCCGTCTCATCAGTCAATTAGAATGTTGACTTTTCCTTATCCTTGGTTAAAATACTTTATGAATATTTAAAACCTCTAACAAGCTAAAACTGAAATTGATTATGTAATGCATTCAGTCAATAATTCTATATCAGCTTACGGGAAAAAGAGACGGGAGAAGCTTTAGATGTTGCTTTCATAGAGCTGACTTATTAGTTGAATAATTCAGCCGTTAACCAATATACCTTAGATCTAAACCCCACCTTACCTGCTTTGACAGCCGGGTAACATTATTAGCTCTGTCTAGAAAGCAGTTTAAAACTAAGTAAACCCGTATTTGGTAAATGAGATGCGTTATTGTTATGAAATTTTTTCTAAATAATTTGTTGGATAAGTAATGTGATTTACTAAGTCACAAAAGATATTTATTGAAGAGTAATAAAATCATGCTGATCATATAACGTGTAAGGATTATCATATAATCAATTATAATCAAGACAAAATTAATACATCGGTCTAAAACAAAAATGTAGCAGTTAATATACCTTGTCTTTTACATTGACAAAAGTAACAGTTGAATAAATTCTCTAAAAAATATCATACCTATCAAAAGAATCAGTGAAATGGTAGGTATACAGATGAGCTCGAATATATTTTGGATTATTCGGCACACTAGATGGATCGAGCAGTTCCAAGACTAATGAAAGGAAAAAACGAAGGGCAAATAAATTCTCATAAAATAAACAACCATTATAATATTAAAGAATAGTATTAGTTGAGCCTAACTGAAATCAAACGAAACAGTAGCTGCAACCACAGTATGAAAGAATGTTAGAACATGTGAATTCAAGTTTACACCCTAAATATTTATTTACCATCAAATAACAGAGGTTCCATTTATTAAGCTTACAAATTTATATAGACAAACTATTGTTTACGCCCAACCGTCATGTACGAAAAAATGTAATACTGACTGGAATATGACTACAATACAAATAGACTCAAAATATCTATACAAAAATATAACACAAGTCTATAAAGTTATAGATTGCTCGGTCAATGTCTGAAATGCACATTTACATTCAGATTTGAATACGCTATCACAACGAAAATGGCTATAGAAGTTAATTGACGGAGCAAAACTCTAATTTCGTCAAACATAAACAACCGGAATGCTATCATTTTAATAATACTTGTGTTCATAGGTTTTTACTGATAAACTTTTCCACTAATTTGTGAACAGATTAAGGGACTAGAAAGTGTTATCTATACTACACACTTTGAAAATCCAACGCATATATATGTATATATATACACTTAAATGTAAACATGGGCATCAAATATACATCCCGAATGATTTTTATTCTATATAGTATATATTTATTTAAACTGATGAACTGCTTCTATCCGTGTCGCACTAAAATCACAACTCATCGTGAAAAACTGACAGTGAAGACAACTAACTTAAAGTGTAAGTCTTCTAATATTAGCATAATCACTATCTAAAATATTGATATAATAAAAAATAAAACAATGATTGAGCCAAATACAGTAGGTGTCTAAAACTTCACTTCAAATACTGAAATTCTAATTTTTAGTAACGAAAATCGTCAAGACTCAAGCTGTCACTTATTCACACGAACGATTCAGCATAAAAACAATTGTCTTAAAAATAAATTCAAATAATTTCATTCGAATTATCACAAGTAAAAATAAACATGCACTACTTTACAACAGTGTAAAAACTAACCCTCAGTTTGTTGATTCAGTAATCGATAAACTAAATTCATCAACCACGGATGATTACGATAGTTCGTGAGCGCAGCAAACCACATTTGCCAATCCAAACGAGGCTGGTGTGGGACTAGATTTACAAAAGGATAAAGAAGTAAACTAGCATATGTATAATTACTACAACAGTTCAGTATGTAAACTTTACATAGAAAAGTAAGCTTATTTCCATCGAAGCGTAACAAGTCAGTCAAAGGAAAGATGCCAAAATGTAAAAAGACAGCTGACCAAGTAACATGTCTTATCTTAATTTCAATCATAAAAAGATAAAATGAACAATATACTAAAACTTGACATATAAACACTTATCACTATTATCTTTGAAACTTAGTAATTTAACAGGTACAAACTGGATTATTTAAAATGTGACTAAGTATTTTGAAGTTTAAAACAATACCAACTTCCTTGAAACGTTCGATAATGAAGTAATATCGGTAGACCCCAATCAATGTAGTCGTTCTTCTAATATTTTAATGTAAAAGGATTACATGGGAGTGATTGTATTCAGAAAAGTTTAGAAGAAATCGAATTTGTGCTTAAAACTGATCAATTAGTATATATTTTTTTTAATCCCAAGTCTAATAACCAGCGAATCCAGACAAGGAAACCACTACTACTCACTACATGACAAATTATGAAAGATATAACATAGTGACTTAAATGCATTAAAGATGTTCCTTAAAACCAGTAACCACTTTTTGAAAGTAGTAAGAGTATCAACCAAGCGAATTCGACCACATGAAATAATCACGGAGATGAACTAATTCATTTGATGTAGAAATCGCAAAACCAAAGTTTCTAAGAAGCAAATTATTTTTGTAAAGAAAATATAAACACAATTGTGTATTTTTAGGGAAACTGGAATCCCCAATTGTTTCGTTCCGAGTGAAGATGAGTAAAATTGTTAGATATAGTATGAAACACATGTGTAACAAAAAAGAGAAAGATATTAACAAGAAAAACTTTATTTAATACTGATCAATTATTTGTTGCACAAGCGCCAGTGCAAATCAATATTCTTTATTTATGACATCATTACTGTATTGATCAAATATTAGCAACATGGATAAAGAAATGTGATATTGACAACTGCTTGTGTAGAATTTTCTACACAGCAAACAACTAATCTTATAAATCAACTTATTAGCAAACAAACTATATCAAAGAAACAGTTCTAAAATAAATAAATATAATATTGCACTAAGACAATTTCATAATGAATAAACTTTACAGGATAAGAAATACTTACTAACAACTGGAGGAGTTTTATCTATACGACCAGGTTTGAAATTAAATTCGTATTCATACCATGGACCAGCTGGACTTGATGCCGCCTCCAAGATAAGTTCAGGTCGACCACCAACTCCAGTCATTCTTAAGTAACAACATAATGCATAAATTACAGAAAAATTTGAAAAATATTATAATAAATTACCTGAAAAGACGTAAACAAATAATTTTACTCATGTTTACACAAATGAAATCCATAAAATAAAGTAACAGAAACTAACCGGCGGAAAAGACCATAACTATTAGTAATGTAATAGGGTTGTAAATGTTTATAAACTTGACGAATTTGAGGTGGTAATTGTATGGTCGAATCCAGTGATGCAAATGGCACCTGAATGGAAAAGAAACTAATAATAGTTAAATTGACTTTATAACTAACAAAGTGACAAAGTAATATGAAAATGTTGCTAAGACGGAGTTTTGTCCTAAAATGTAATATACTGTTTAATGAAAAGAATAGTTTTACGCCGAAGAAATTATAGTTAACAACAAATATCGTCAATCTGAACAGCGGACAGTAAAATCACGCATTTTTAGTCTAAAGGTATGAGGTCTAGTCATTTGACACTCATTATGTTGTTGAATTCTTTAGACTACCTCAAATCGATTAGGTGATAACTGATTTACCACAAACTGATTGGATAGTTTGGGAGTCTACCCACTACTCGCCTGAGGAGAATGTCAACACAGAGAGAACTTTGCAAATGATTCACAAACTATTCAGTAGAATTACTTTGGTGGACAAATGAAAAGACACTTTAAGATCTTCATGTGATAGTCTTTAGAACGAATAAACCTACAGAATAAACTTAAATATGTGAGTTATAAAGTTAGGTATGTATTAAGAAAGAGTAATGAAGTTTGGTGAAATGAAATGATTCGGATATGTACCCCTACATTAGAATAGTTCGATGTGAAATGTTTACTGGAACAGAGGCGGGCTAGGTATCCTATCATTTATTAACTAATATCTCTTTTGAATTCGGATTTTTAGTCAACGGCCCTTAGATATCCCACTTCTTTAATTTTCCTTTGATACAATTCTTGGGATAGTGACGGAATGGCCCAATATAAGTTGAATCAGTGCTAAGTGATTGCTTCAGTTACTAAATACAGCAGTTTTTGAACTTTTAATACCTTACAATTTGAAGGAATATCTTAACGGTAAATTGTTAGATTAAAAGTCGAGATCCATTGAAATGTTATAAATCTTGGTTTAAAATATGAGGAAAACACACAAACAATAATATATACTTACCAAACTACCCATAAGTATGGCAAAACCAATAAAACCAATGATAATAACACCGAATAATTCATAGAGTTTACGCCAAAACCGATGTGAATTTAGTGCTCTATCAAGTTACCGATGACGATGACGACAAAGAACCACAACAGCATAAACAATTAAAATGTTAGGATAGATGGAAAATAGTAATAAAACAGAATAATGGAACTTAGTATCTAATTTAGCCTAACTTTTCATCAATATGAAATAATTACTTATATTTACGTATAATAAATACACTCATCCTTGTTGTTTGATGAAAATGGCTTTTTATTTAGTGATACAAGATATTAATACTGTAACAGTTAAGTTTCTTATCAATCTGGTTAGTAGTATTTACAGGGTGTGTTCACGGAATCAATTCATTGTTCATCACACTAATACAGCTAAAAAATATTACACTCATATTATCATCGTCTTCCACACGATATGGTATACCTGAGCTGTTGTTACTCGTGTGATTGGATTATAGGATTGAACTGTGCTGTTTAAGTTGGAAAGAGCATAGATAAAGTGTGGTTTTACTGAAAGCCAACGCAAAATGTTGCTCCCGCATGATAAAGAGGTGGCTTAGTGGTTGGGCGTTCAACTTTCTCCCACTAAATCCTAGGTTCGAAACCCGCCCCAAGCAATCAAGTAGTATCACTAACTCTCACACTTAGAGAAGGCTTATATCCAAATAGCTGGTGAATGAGTTTATTATTAATAATTGTACAAATTGCTTATTTTAATTACGGTACACTACGAAGTTCGAGTTAACCGATTAGATTTATATGCTTTTAGTAAATCGATCTTATAGGTTAAATCCATCCAAACATATGGTGAACAAAACAAAATGAAAAATATGGAGATGATGTGTTTGATATATGATTATCGATATTAAATGGAAACAAGCATATTGGAAAAATAAATCAGTAGGAAGCTTACATAATTATACTATGCAGAACTTCTACACAGAAAAATGCGACACCAAAAGAAATACTGTATTTGACGGATGTATTTACGAACCAAGCGAACTCCTTTTTGGTGAAACCTAAGTTTGGTAAGAAAACATTGATAAAAATAAATAGTACAGTGAAATACTCATATAAGCAATGTTTAGTTAATTCGTTCATATTACCTTCGTTAAGTGTTGGAAATTAGAAAACATGAATATCAACCAATAAACTTATGCTTCAGATGATTTGTAAAGGAATTTACAACTATAGGTATCCACCATAACGAGAAACAAGAGGGTGAGTTGGGTTTGATTTCTGTAATATGAAATGATTCAAAACTGATCTGTGTATATTAAAAAAGATAGCATCCATTCACTCCAACAGGAAATAAAAATTTTGAAGATGACTGATACAAATAATACTTTTAATTTCATATGCAGTAACTAAACGAATTAAGTAGTGATAAACAACTGTATCAGTTTATGGAATCCAGTTTTGACCTTTATCAATCAAATTCGTACAAATCCCTATATTCTCTTCGTGTAAGTTATGAATAAAAACTATTGATACTTGGTAAGAATTAATCGGCAGAAAGCATTTAGCCTATTTTTACGGTGGTGGAGCTAATCAGCACGGTGTATCTTGAACGCCAATGAGTTCGATACTTTTGAGACAATTGAATTAATACCACTTAGCCCACAGACTAGACATCTTATTGGTCATTTATCCAACTAGAATAAAGATTACTGTATAACAATGAAATGCGAATTCCTTTCAACTATTTTAATACGTTATATGTAAAATACGACTTTTCGATCGTTTCCGGCTAGATAAAACGACAAAACACATTCAGCTTACATGCCTCATCTGAAAGACGTTTTGCAAAGTACAACCTTCGTAGGAAACAGAGACGGATAAAATTAAGCTTAGAGATGTAAGGTATGTTCATGACAATATGCATAGAAATTCACAAAAGTCATTAGGCGATAATACATACACAGCTTTATTAAACGCACTAATAACATTTTCCAAACTATGAATAACTTTCCAGTCCTATATTACATGTAGTTAGTATTAAAGTCAATACTTGAATCAATTAACAGAAGTCATGGGGGCCAAAAAAGTTATTATAAATCCATTTTATCATTCAAGATAAAACTTAAAATTTTATCTATCACAAAGAACGCTTACTCTTAAACTAGTAATTAAGTCTGGATCATACTTACGAAGGTAGTAAAAGATTTAGAGCAAATACTTAATTTGTAAGCAAAAGGCTGCTTAGACGCAACTAAAATGGTCCTTTAATTAATTATGTGTTATTCAGTACTAGGATCATTAATATATTGTTCACTTATAACTTTGGATGCAAATTGATGATAAGTAAGCAACTATACAGATTCCCAAAACGATGCTTAGTGACAAACTCTGAGAGCAAATGTTTATCAGCAAATACATTGGTTACTAGGTCTAACATCAGTTAAAACTTAGAACATACCGACAGAGGTACTAACTGAATAATTGGAAATGGAAAAATTGAGCAGATAACCACTGATCCCGAACACTGAGATGATAAGAAACCATGAAGCCGCAAAAGACAATAATCCAGACACGGTCCACTTTCGTCTGCGTCCTATGCAATATCCACACAAAATGAATAATAAGGTGAAGACGAGTTACTTGGAAAACATATCTAACAAAATATTTTGTTAAGGGCTTGTCACTATAATGGGGACATAAATAATATATGCAAAGGTTTTTTAACGTAATGTTATAACCATCGTTTTTTCACGGTTGTGAACATGGCTTTATTGCTAAGGCGGTTAAATGCTGATTAACTGAAAAAACGAAAAAATGATGTAGCTTAATGATACCTGCCCACGAGGATGGATGTATGGCTTTGTAACACTCAGTGAGTAGCTAAGCCAAACGACTATATGACTGGTCAAATACTATTTAACGAAGTAAAACAACATACAAATACTACTTTGTTTTTCTCATAATATACATTATTTATAGTGAGTAGATCACAGACGATACGTTACGAAACGTATGAGAGTCTTACTATCTCCGGATGCTCAGTATGTCATCATATGTTAGATAAGTAATTTATGGTTATAAGGTACAGTGATTGTGAGTCGAAAATATAAAATGATTACTAGTTTTTGCAATAACATAAAAGTATTCGTTATGTTCAGATGAGATCCAAAGTTGGTTTTTACGACTATGAAAGTTGATTACAGATCTAAAGACCAGTTCAGTTTACATGTAGTTAATTAAAAGTGTGTATCAAGCATTTTGCATGGTGAGAAGGAATGATGTCATTGCTGGACGTATAGTGTAAGATGGTGGTAAATCAACTGAGGTTTATAAACCTTTGTCAGTAGGTGGTTAGAAGACCTGTAGCACTCAAAAGGAAAAACAAGAAGCCGACAAAGTGAGGAAACTTGTATTGAACTGACAATCTGTATTACAGTGAAATATGTAACAGTAGACGAGAATTCTTCAAGATTACAAAAGCATTCACATGAGATACTTGGTGGTTTGGTTTCAATTTAACTCGGTGAACTCCCATTTACCATGTTTCTATAGATCCGTGAGACGATAGCAACCGATGGTTAGACATTGGATGACATGGCTCAAAATCGTTTGTAATGGCGCAGGTGCATCCAGTCTTTGTGTTTCCCAAATTTTAATCTTCTGAATTTTTAATATCCCTTTTTTCTCTTTCCAAATTTGTTTCACTGGATTATACTACCTCTAATACTACGGGATTTGAATTGACAATTGTATCTCTGTGCTAATGTGGTATGGCAACTCGAACTGATGTACATATGTACAAAGTTCTACGTTGTTAATTGACTGACTGATGGATTCCTTCCCAAAATATATACAGTTAGTAATTCTTTGTTACTAATATCACAAATGTGTTTTAATAAGGCTACTTGGAAGGCAGTACATCACTACTAATTTACAACTTTAGCAAATTCACTAAGTTTAGACGACTGGGTAATAAACAGCACGTCAGCAAACAAAGGACCACGAAAATAACGTTCTCTGATATATTAAATAGTAAATATAAGTGGGTAGACATCTACCATTCAAATGATTCATTTTAAAACACAACTCACGAGGATTGAAGTCATCATCTTTCAATAGGGAATAACATAAAGCAATGGTTAGCAAATTGAAGAAATTGTAGTTCCCCGTCAATATTATCGAAAGTTGCAGAAGTACCTTAAATAAAACACATATTCATCAAATCAAACAATTCGGGAAATATGATGGACAGAACAAATATGGATACTAACTTTTATGTATCGAACGGCTGTAGAATTCGTTATAAAGGATTCAAATATAGAAAGGTCTACAGATTGGATAACATTACATAATCCAAGTTGTACGTACATTTCCGTAGTAGGAAATCAATCATAATTCACAAATTGTAATCATCAAAGACACTTGTGAATACTCTGGTAATATAGTCCGAAAATCACTAGACGGTGCAAGTCAATTTACAAGAATTACCATGATACAGACTGACAGGTAATATTAATTAAATGCATTTCAAATGAAAAGACACGATTTCTAAACTACATTCATGAGGTTATTAACAGCCCTAGGCTTAGTATGAATACTTATCATCTTAAGTTACTACGCTTTACATCAACACAGAAAATGAAGAAACCGATAATGTGGAAAACAGAACGTGAAATAGTACCAACTACTATGAGAAGCCAAACATGATACTATTTTAAGGGGACAGGATCGCATAACGAGTTATTGGATTATATTAAACCCGTCGAGGAGAGACTAACAAATGAGTGGGACTGTAGATGAAACTTATTTTAGGTCACTTCCTAATCTCAAAAGATAGGTTGAGATAATTTCACGGACCCTAATTTGATGACTTAAACCTCCAAACACGACACAGACTGACAGTTAGTAAGTGCACGAACAACTGTATGCATTGTTATCATTTCTTTGATTAGTAGGCAGAAAGATAAGGTTCAAAAATACACAAAACCAAATATGAACATTGTCGTTGTAACATATAGGTCTTCATAAGCATAGGCCTTTTTCATCGTTTTATAATTTGCAAGTTGGAATAGTAGAAGTATACGCCGGATAATAGAATGACATACCTATTTCTACAGTATATGAGGATAGAGCTCGGAATTCCAAATTTTAAAAACACATTTCGAAGTAAAAAGGACTACATTATTAGAGGACATACCTGTGAATAAAATGATACAAGACGTGTAGTTCGGAAAGGCACGAAAAACAAAAGTGGCAATGAGATTTCGATTATGAATGTAGCTGCGACACACAGGCTATGAATCCATCCTGGGAGGTGATGTGCATACCAAGCTACTGGAGTTGGAATACACTACAAGACGTAAATGAAATAAAAACAAAAATTATCAACCATTTAACATGCCTGGGACTGATAGTGCCAATGTAATGCTTTTAAACCCCACCAAGTAGGACAGTCGCTGGTCAGTTTAACTACACCAGATGAGAACATTAGCCGAAATAGGAGCCAACGTAGCAACCACATTCCTATTTTATCACTAGCGACCATACGTGGAAGAGATATGACTGCGCCGAAACTTGATAAGAGAATTGCTATAAAGCCGGACTCCAAAAGTAGGATGTCCCTAAGATAACATGATGAAATATTTTGAATCTTACCATTGGAACCACAAAAAAGTTTGGCCAACCTGTTAAGTAGTTATAAATGAAAAACCACGCAAACCTTTAGGGCGCTTAGATACAGCACCCAAAGGGCTAGGAAAACTGGCCCCGTCCGGAAGGCTGTGGAAAAACTCGACAGGAATGACAAGACAATGCCCACAACAGTTACAAGCTCAAGACATTTGTAAGAGTCAAGTTGCAAGAATTCAGCAAGCCGTACGACGTTTAGATTTTTAATTAAGTCTGATACATCCTTTGGGGCTATTTTAAGTAGTCACTAAAGAATACTCTTACCACTTAATGATAGAGTTTGGATAGGTGTCACACCATTCTCACTGTATAACCCTGAAAAAAAGTTATGTTAATTGTCATACACTTGCCAGGAAGCTGAATGTATAAAGAAGCAAAAGCAAATAAGTAAATGAAGCTTAAACATAGTAGGAACCGTTCTTTCGGAATGGAGACGCCAACACGCCCCATCGTTACCACTAATGTTGAACGTACCGGGCTGTAGAACAGTTCAAACGATTTTGGACGGAATAGAGTAAGCTTTCGCTTAACGGGTTTCCGTATCTAGTAGCAGTGGATCACCGATACCTCCATGCAGGAATCATAGAAAGATACTAATCTTAGTCCTTAAGAGTATGTCAAGTCTTTTTCTTAAACGACTCCTGGGAAGTTGCTTGGACTAGCTCATTTGGCAGCGAATTCCAGCATTTAACAACTCTTAAGAAGTAGAAGTTGTGTCTAAAGTCCATTCTGCTTAGTTGTGTCTCCAGTTTCCGTGTAATACTGCTAAGTTTTGTGTTGGAATGGAGCGTAATTAAGTGTTTAAGGAGATGTCCAGAGGTGTTAAGGACACTGTAAGCCATAAGGTCACTTCTAAAATGCCTGTACTGTAATGGGTAAAGGATTAGTGAATGGAGAATCTCTTAATCAGGCTTGACTTTGAGTTCTCGAACTGATTTCGTGGCTCGCTGTTGAGTACGTTCCCGAGTGTCCTTATACTTTTGGAGTGTACTCTAAATGGGGACGAATGAAACTGCTGAAGATTATGTGGAAACTTTTTCCGTCAAACAAGCTGAAATGCGCTTCAACGTTACCGTTCCAAGGTTTTCTCGGAATGCATTTTTATCGCAGTTGGTGTAAGACTTCAAATCCTAGGGTACCATCAGTCCTAAAGCTTTTTCAACTTGTGATACCTCTAGAGGGGAATCGCCTTAGTTGTAGCTGTAGTTTGCAACATGGACTACTTTACACTTTTAAATGTTAAAAGTCCGTTATCATCTGAAGTCTAGTCAGATACTTTTGAAGTGCCAGTATATCCTCTTGGTTGAGTAACTCTCTCCAAAGTTTCACATCATCAGCAAAACGTAATAAGTCAGAAAATACCAGTTAGGGAGGATCGTTTATATAAATCAAGAAAAAAAGAGGTCCTAGTAGTGAGCCTTGGAGGACCACACTAGGACATTCAATGGCCTGGGAGAAATTTAAGTTAACCCTAACCTTGAAATGTCGATTTTTATGTATGAAGTGAGCCAATCAATTAAAGGTGATTTGACACCTAATCGTTTGGGCTTATCCATAAAACACATATGGTTCACCTTATCAAAAGCTTTTGAGAAGTCAGGATAAATGACGTCAGCCTTCCTCTCGCGATCAAGGATGGTTGCTTATCTGTTAACCACAGTCAGCACGTTGGTTATACAAGAGTGACCTTTTCTGGAACCGTACAGTTGGAGTGAAAAGAAATATAATAATAATAATAATATATTTCTGCGTGTGCAGGTACACGCCAGTTTTACAGGCATGATCTATATATTACAACATTCGTTGGCGCACTACATGCTTCCCAACTTACTAAGTTTATAGTTGTTATAAAGTAGACTCGTAGGACGCTTTCTGTAAGCCATGACCTTGAGGAGACGCGTACGTCAGATTTGTTCCAAACGTCAGAAGTTCCATAGCTGCGCACTCAGAGCAAGATTCTGAAGAAGAAAAAATAGAAACAGAAGAGCAGCAAGGTACTTGGATATGAACGCCAAACGTTGCTTAACAGTGTATAGTAGAACAGACAGAGGTATAATAAATTAGATTATATTCATGTCATCTCTTGTTAGATTGAAATGAAGTCGAAGGCTCCACATAAGAGAATGTAGTAATAAAGAACAATGAGTTGTGGCGTTTAACAATTTGGAGGAAGCTCACATGGAGGAAGGGAAGTCAAGGTTGGTACAAGGAAAGCGGTTTATTAGAAGGGAGTGTGTATATAGAGAGTGAGATGTTAAGAATACTAATAACTACATCTTTTACTGTCTAATTTTTTATCCTTTTTGTCCATCCGATTTCAGCCACACAATCCTAGTGTAAAAGTCCGAGTTAGTATGTTATAGGTTGTCTTAGTAGAATAGCTAATCCAGCATAAAATTGGAAACATGAGTCTGAGTGGTGAGCGTAGGAAGACAATATATATCACAGATTGATTGGCTTATTCTCAATCATAGAGAGCCTGATACATTCAAAATGTTCTGCCCCATAAACACGGGTGGATTGAAGTTATCGCCCTCACCATCAATGCTTGGTGGTCAGTAACCCCACCCTCCCTCTTTTTGTGATGTTAGGCTCATTTAAGCTTATTTGAGGATATATGTCATACCTCACACAATCCTCTGTGTTCCACAACTTGTTGGAAAACACTATTTCTATAAGTACGATTTTACAAGCTTATCAGGCAGTTACAAGTTATGGACTGTGGATAAGGCATCGATGCAGTGCTTTAATTGACTATAGTATAAAGTATAGCTTGCCAATCAGAGTATAAGCATTGAGAAGGCTATAATGTAGAATAGTTGTTTATTAAATCAGGCGGAAAAGTATAGAAGTATATGAGTTGTAGATAAGGTAACGAGTGGAGAAATAATATTAATTGTTAGTCAATATAATGTACAGAAGAGTAAAAAGCTGGTAAAGAATAAACAGGAAGAAGCTCACATGGGTAACAGGCTTCACAGATGCGAGACCACTAGCAGTTAGCAGTCGATTGTGCGGTTCGTTTGACTTTTTAGGGTGGTAGTGAGTGTCTCTCAGCAATCGAGTTTACTTGAACAGTATCGATAGGTCCAGTGAGTTACCTGTCTACTTCAAAAGAAGAAATAGGGTGGAAAATGTAACTGATACAACTGCTAAGTAGGAAAAATAAGGCAAACTGAACTTGAGGTCCATTTTGGTCTAGATATAGTCGGGCAGATCATCGCATACGAGGGACACCATAATTTTTTAGGGTATAGAGAGAAGCACCACCGGTCAGTAGCTTGAAGGCTCGCTGTGTCAACCTACTTTGAAAATTGGTGTGAACTGAGCCAGCTTCCAAATTTCCGGTAATGTTCCTCGGCTTAGTAAATGCGAGAACTGCAAGATAAGCGGTGTTGCTAGGATTGAAGCTGCTTCTCTCAGTGCAGCAGAATAGACCATATCCAAACCGAGAGAAGTATCTCTCTTAGGTGCTGCGGAATGCTATGAGAAGAGTGAACAAAATCATACGCAGGTCTCCTAGAAAGGCAGATGCGAGAAAGTCAGTAAATGACATAATTTATAACATAAACTGTAGTATTGAATTTGAAAATACGTTAGGTTTTGAACCAGAGGGTTTTCTGTTTGCGGGTATTCCTTTGAGTGAAATGCCTAATCAATTTCAACTCGTTTCCTATAAATAGATCAGTCTCTGCCATAAATGCCCCCCTGACTTATGTAGTTTCCAATAGTTACCCTTCAGACAGTAAAAATGGTGTGTGGTAAGTGTATGAAGTTAGTTGTCCCGGTCAGAAGAGAAAGATTGCATACATCTGTAGTGTGGCGTCGAGTCACGATCGACTATGATCACCACTACAGGAAGAATACTTGCCAGTTATTAGGTCGGATTCCTCCGTAGGCCAAAAACCAGGAGGCAGTTGATGGTTGTAATAAGATATATTTGTTGGCAATCTCGTGGTATTGAAATACTACCGAGATCGTGCCAAAATTTACAGGTAGACTATTAAGCGTACGCGAATATGTGCAAAATCACAGTCAACGGAAGGATGTGTTTTTAGTGCACTTAAACAAACAGGTACAGTAAAACAATTACTGGTACAATTGGTTATAATAATAACTGTTTCCATTATACCAATCGCATTCTTTTCATAGAAGTAAGTCTCTACACATCGTGCATACGAAAATCTTTCTACAAACTATGGCGATAGCTTGTGTCGATATTTAGGAGTGCTCCAGTAATCATTCTTTAGATCAATGTCAGAAATTTAAAGACAAGAATGTTAGAGCAAGGAAGGAATTCGTTCTTAGACACAAGTTGTGTAATGTATGCCTGAAGGCAAACCACGTAGCAAAAAACTGTCGATCGCCGAGGTCGTGTGCTGTCGAAGGGTGTGGCTGGAGACACCATACACTGTTACACCAGTTGCGGGAAGAACCAAGGAATATTAATATTGATGCACACATTAACACCCAGCTATGTACGGAGAAAAGTGTTGAGCGTGTACAGAAACAAGCAGCATTCGCAATAGTGCCTGTACTGGTAAGAAATGGAGAAAAGGTAGCACAGACTTGCGCCTTCTTAGATAGTGGGTCGGATGCCTCTCTTATTACAGAAGATCTAGCTAAAAGGTTGAATTTAGAAGGAGAGCCTAAGACGATTTCGTTGAAAACGTTGGATAACCATTTCACAATTCAGTGTAAAGAGGTTCAACTAGAGGTTTCATCCTTAGACTCGTCTTCGTCATTTAGAATCCCAAACGTATGGACAGTCGAGAGATTACCTATGTTGCGCAGGACGGTACCAATGACGTCTCAAATGAAATCCTGGACGCATTTAAAAGACATAAGTTTTCCTGGAGTAGAGGATGAGAATGTCGAACTGTTGATCGGATGCAACGCACCGAGTGTACACGAAATGAAAGAGATAAGAACTGGAAAGCCGAACGAACCATTCGCCGTGAAGACTCTGTTAGGTTGGACGCTGTTCGGTTCCTATGGGGAACCCTGTAAAAGCAATCGTGTACTCAATCACCTCTCAGCTAAAGAGGAATTAGGGGATAAGTTTGAACAATCGTATTCAACTGAATTCAAAAACCTACTTAGTCGTACTTCATCGATGTCTGTAGAAGATCGTATAGCATTATCAGAATCTGTATATGGTGTCGCAGAGTATACTCGTTCCGAAGATGTCATTGTTCGTTTTTATTAACTAAGTACAAGGTTGTTAAGCCAAAAACTGAAGCATCATCTGCTAATAAATCCAAATCAACTCTAAGAAAGCTTAAGTAAAAGAAGGACATCAAACTGAAAGTGAAGACTACGAAAAAGCCGAAGACCACTGTAACGAAGAAGCCAGTAACTAAGACCCTGAAGAAGCAGGTAGCACATATTCGCCGTGGTATCGAGGATGGTGTTGAGAAAGGCGCCCTTGTACGAGTTGTGAACAAGAGTAAGGGTGCATCTGGTAGTTCTATAGGATCCAATGCTATTCTTAGACAGATCATGTGTAGTTGGAATCAGAATAAGACAGAGAGAGGTTGTGAATGGCGCTTTAAACTTCCGAGGTATAATCAACGAGACGGTGTATGGGGACGCATCATAAAGTCGATAAGAAGAATTCTGCGATCACTATTGTTTCAGAAGGTATTGATGGATGAGTCTTCGAGAGACTTAGTGTTATTAAACAATGTTGGCTCACTGAGAAGTCTATGGTCCAAAGCAATTGCCGAACAAGTAAGCTATGGCTCTGACGGACAAGTCGTACGGCAAAATTGAGAACCGCAAACGAAGAAACCGTTCGGGACGTACGACGCTTATGTCTACTAGAAGGAGCCGGCTGTCTGACGGCGACGACGACCCTGGACAACGGACGTGGTGCGCGTTTCGGGGGGAGTGTAAAATGTGATTGATAGACGAACCCACCAATAATAAGGGAAACGCCTACCACCACATCAACTCCTTTTGACCTTGTACGACTGTATCTCTTTATTAACCAATCACAGTTTAATGTTCATTGTAAAACAATATTGGCTTGTTGACTCATTTTTCCTATTCTCTGGCTACTGTTCGGTATGTTATTTGTCTGTTTTTCCCTGTATTAATAGACCGTACTGTTTGTTTGTACACTAACGATGTTAATTTATGTTTTAGAAACAGATAAAGTTTATCTAGCCAAATAGCTTGCTTGTTCTGACTTTGGTTAAACCAAGACTCGACAGTCTAGAGATTAGCTTAGAGTTGAATCTGTAGGAAATTGCTTCCTACATATGTGGAGAACCACTACAACAATCATATAAAGTACAGGTATTTAAGAACAACTGTCTACACAAGGCACTCGATATCTGTTGACCGGATATCATCAACAACAACAAACAATGGCAGAGAAAAAACCAATTTCTAGCTGACGATGAAATTAGGAAGTGACGTTGGAAGTGGATAGAACATACATTACAGAAATCACCAGCCTGCATCACAAGGCAAGCGCTAACTTGGAGAGTTGAAGAGAAACGTAAAAGAGGAAAGCTGTAGAACACAATACGTCGGAAATCGGAAGCAGACATGAAAAGGATGAGTAGCAACTTGAAAGAACTGGCAAGGATTGTTTAGGATTGAGTTGGACGGAGAATGCTGGTGAGTGGCCTGTACTTATGACTAAGCATATATCCTAACAGACCATAAGATCTAATTACACTGATAATTCCCTGTACATAGAACGTCATATCTAGTCCTTTTATCACATTTTTTATATCTGGAACATTCGTTATAAATTTCAGGAGACATAATTTAATATTTCTTCCACAGTACCTATTTTAATATACAACATTGAATAGATACCCTCTTGTTGATTTCCGTGAATGAGACATCAGACAATTCCGATTATTTCAGTGTATTATTGTACTATCGCTAATATTTTGTGTAATTTCTCATTTTAACGACTACAACACTAGATATTTCACCATATGACTGTTCAACAGTTATCTAGGACTGATGAGTTTGATGTAAACTAGTAAACATTTGTAAATGTTCACTTCGGCAGTCTTAACTGCTACCGCTTATTAGTAAACAGAAATTTTCCAATATGTTGTTTTGCTTATCTATACAACTGAGAAAACGAAAAAGCAAACAACAATGCCGTATAAGTAAAATAGAAACGGTAATCGCAAAATCACTTAAAATAAAAAAGATGTTTTTCTTATCGTTTCATATATTGTTAACTAGATAATTCAGTTCAGCGATATTACTTCAAAAACCGGAAAGAGAGTTATTGACTATCCCACAAATATTATTTTTGTTCAAGAGGATTTAACCTCTTCTGCGACATCAGCAATTCCTATTCGCCGTTGACCAACATCAAATACTGTATAAACTTTTCTTAAAAATACATCCCCAAATATCCATAACGGGCCACTTGGGAAGTCAGTACCAATGAAGCAAGTCCTGCAAATTCGTGAACCGTTTGAAACTTTCTAGTAATAATAAGATATAACAATGAAATACTGTTATTTTTACTCAAAACCTTTATATGGATTGATTTTTATGATTGATTTTATAGTAATTTCTATTTACCAGTTATGTAGTCCACATCAGACAGTTAACTAGCTTGAAACATTTACCATTTATAAATACTTTTTGATCAATTTTTTAAAGTTTCATTGCTACTGAAGTGTTTGCTAATCAACTGAAAATTGTTTTAAACTTCTGTAAAGTAAACACCTCAACTCATATAACATAAGCCACAAGTATTTTGGTGGATGTCATGCACTCTTTGTATTTGTTAAGTTTATATTTATTATTTATGAATTAATTAATATCTGGTGATTGAATGATTCCATTTCAAATTGAGTTTTCACTCAGAGGATCTTCTAAATTAGAAAAACTTCAAAGACAAGCGACTAAGTGAGTATCGTTTATCTAAAAAGTATAGTTCTCACAAACCAAAAACAGAAAAAAGCTCGATGAAGCTTCCCAACGAATCACTATTGGTATGCTTTGTTACACAATGTACAGATGAACTAAAAGAGTAAGAAATTTTCGAGTGCTTACACTGACAGATGGCAACAAGTATGAAGTTGTAGATTCGTGATGTTCGACTTATCTGTGTAAATAGAGTTTATCGCAATGAACTTTCTCAACTTAAGACCTGTATTTGTGAACGGAATAGAACCTGGAAGATTTACAGAAAACATACATATAAACAGGCATAACTTTCAACCATTAGTAAATATTAAGTTCATCCATATGATTTTAGATATACAAATGTCAAATAACTTAGTGAGCAACATATGATGTAAAGCATAGACAGGAGTAATTTTTTATAAGATATGTCAAATATAAATGTTGAAATGGATAAGCGTACTTGGAGATCGTAGAGATTACAATTTTATTAATAGAGATGATTCAAAGAATCAAGAAAACTTGTATAATCTAGTGGTAACTTTTCTGACTACAGTTGTTGGCAACTTGGATCAGGATCTCTAGTTGAGTATCCGTTTCATTAAGGTTTGCAGAGATCTTTAAACAGTGGGTGCCAACCAATATAAATTGGAAATCCATTACATTTTTACGAATAACTACAGTGTTTAGTAATTATGTCTCACTTATCTTAGTAGTTATAGTGATAAATTATTAAATAAAAGTCGTTGACTTCTATTCCGGAGGTTGCGGATACCCGACCGTTGTTGCTACCTTGACGTGGTGGTCGGGCTTGCCTATTGTGATGAAGCAACCGAGCTATACTGACTGGAACAACCGTTCCTCAAGGTCCTACCATGTCAGACAGGTCGGTTGAAGAGTGGTAAGACGAAAAGCAACAAACCCAAGGTCCGAAGGCGAAGTCGTACTGCTGAGTGTTCAGAGGTGTGACAACAGTAAGGTGTTTCCTTCAGGCAATCAGCATGACAGCGACGCTGCCTTCCCACATGGAGGGGTGGGGTTAGAAAAGGTCGACCCTAAAAACACACACCTCGTCTTATCCCATGGATATCCGTCTCAGGCGTTAAGGTCTCAACAAGTACGGAGCTAACACAAAAATTACCCACGAAAAGGTCGTGTGTGACTGACTTCAAGCAGTTGTCCCTTGGGCACTGCGGTCACGCTCTCAGGTCACTAAGACCACCTCTAACCCAATTTCTTTTTCAGACACCTCTAGAAGAACCCTTCTACGGTGCGGGCAACCGGGAAGTGATAACTGCCCTCATACCTCTAACAGCGCTCAAGGCCACTGTATTCATAATTAACCTCCGTCTTCACTTCCTATTATTCCTCCTACATCGACTTTCACCTCTAAACTTCCTTTTTCGGCTTCCCCCTCAAGTGTCACCATAGCCAAACGATTCTAGTGCTCAAAACACTGTCCCAGGTCTACTGAAACCTCGCTCCAAGCTACACATTGCAGCCTTCAACGTACGAACCCTATGTCAAATCGGTCAACAGGCTTCCTTGGCTAGAAACCTAGAGTCTCTTACCATTGATGTATGCTGTGTCTCTGAAACAGGCATACAGGATTCCAGTGTGGTCATTCACTTGACCTCACCTCGGCAAAACGGAGAGCCAACGAGATACACCCTACGTGTATCTGGTGACCCGATAGCCAGTTCTCGTGGACTGGCAGGTGTAGGCATAGCACTAAGCACGAGGGCGGAACAAGCACTGCTAGAGTGGATCCCGGTCAACAATCGTTTATGTGCTGTTCGACTAAACGGCTCCGTAAGAACTCGGAAGAATAGGGACACACGTCGTTGCCTTTTCGTCGTTTCTGCCTACGCTCCCACTGACTGCAGCTCAGATGATGTGAAAGATGAATTTTACAGAAAGCTTTCTGAACTTCTTCAGAAAGCTAAACGCTCAGACATAGTACTCGTAGGGGGTGACTTTAATGCTCAGATAGGTAGCTTAAACCAAACAGAAAGGCATTTAGGTGGATATTTTAGCATTCCGGCACAGCGAACAGATAATGGTGACCGTCTGTTGCAACTGTGCTCAGACAATCGCTTATTTTTAGCAAACACAAATTTTAAGCATAAGGAGAGACATCGTCTAACATGGCGACCCCCTACACCAAACCAACGATGGACTCAAATAGACTATATTGCCATCAGTCATCGTTGGAGAGGGTCGGTACAAGATTGTCGCTCATTCTGGAGTACCTGCTTGGACTCCGACCACGCCCTAATACGGGCACGCATCTGCTTGCGCCTCACTGGACGCAAAAAAGCCACACCAAAAAGACCCATTAGAACTGAGTTGAGTAACGAGAAAACCAAAAATAGGTTTCAAGATCAACTGAGGTCATGATTAGGTAGTTCTGAAGACGAGGCTGACCCAGATGTTGCTTGGAAAGACATACAAGCAGCTGTGGAAACAGCAGTGACATCTATTAGCGACTTTAACCACTGAGTTACAAAGAACCAGTGGATTTCTTTAAAGTCTATCACACTGATGGATTCTCGCAAACTCGTCCCACCAGGTTCCGAACATGATGAAGAGCGACAACAAATCAGATCTAGGTTAAGAAAAAGTCTAAGGAATGACCGTGAGCAGTGGTGGGCAATGAAAGCAAAAGAGATGGAAAAGGCGGCGACTATAGGGAACACAAGACAGCTTTACAGACTAATAAAATAAACTGGAATTAATAAGTGTAAGTGAGATTATATCGGAAAAAGATGATACTCATCTGCTCTCAGTCCAGACGTTTAGAACGATGGGCGGAACATTTCAGAGAACAGTTCAACTGGCCTTCAGCTACTCTACAACTACCCTCCATTCCCAGACAGCGTGAATGGAACATTGAAGTAGGTCCCCCAACTCTTGCTGAAGTCCAAAAGGCTATAACTAGTCTGAAACGAGGAAGGGCAGCTGGTCCAGATGAACTGGCTCCAGAAGTCTTTAAGGATGGTGGTCCAATTTTAGCGATTAGGTTGACTAATATTTTAGCTAAGATCTGGGAGTTAGACGTTATCCCATCTAACTGGTCACAATCACTTATCGTCCCAATATATAAGAAAGGGTCAAAATCATCCTGTGACAACCACAGAGGGATTAGTTTAACTAATATAATATCTAAAATACTAGCCTCGATAATTATCAGACGCCTAACTAAGACCCGTGAACTGCAAACACGAGAGAACCAAGCTGGCTTTAGACCTGGTCGTGGCTGCATCGACCACATAGTCACCATTCGTCAGATTCTAGAACACAGGCATACTTATCGGCGTCCGACAATGGTGGTCTTTCTCGACTTAAAAGCAGCATTTGACTCTGTAGACCGCGAGATTCTGTGGTAGTGTCTGTCATTGAAAGGCGTACCTCAGAAGTACATAAACCTTGTGAAGGCTCTTTACTCGAACACTACTAGTCCAGTCAGGGCTTATGGCGAACTGTCATCTACTTTTGCAACCTCAAGTGGTGTCCGTCAAGGCTGTCCACTTCCCCATTTTTGTTTAACTTCATCATAGATCTACTGATGGAAATAACTTTCTCGTCGACTGAGTTCTCGGGTATTGATCTCCATCCAGGAGGTCTACTTATCGACTTAGAATACGCACATGACATAGTCCTGTTTGGTGAAGACGCTGACAAAATGCAGAGTCTTCTGGTAGCACTAAGCAACAATGCCAGAATGTTTGGAATGCGCTTTTCTCCCTCTAAATGCAATTTGTTGCTTCAGGACTGGTCTGCGTTAACACCTGAACTAAGGATAGGGAGTGAAGTAGTCGAACGCGTTGACAACTTCACTTATGTTGGAAGTCTGATCAGCCCTAATGGGTTGGTGTCTGACGAAATCTCAACACGGATTCGAAAAGCTCGTTTGGCTTTTGTTAACTTACGTCACCTGTGGCGAAGGCGAGATATCCGTCTATCACTAAAAGGACGAGTATACTGCGCGGCAGTCCGTTCTGTTTTAATTTACGGCAGCGAAACATGGCCATTAAGAGTAGAAGGTACTCGTAAGCTACTAGTATTTGACCACAGATGCCTTAGGAATATTGCTGGTGTCTGCTGGGATCACCGGGTAAGTAATAGTGAGGTTAGACGCAGGGTATTAGGGAATGATGGTAAATCAGTTGATGAGGTTATGAATCTTCATCGACTGAGATGGTTGGGCCACGTGTTACGTATGCCTGAATACCGATTACCACGACGTGCAATGCTATCCGGTATTGGAGATGGTTGAAAGAAAGTTAAGGGCGGCCAAACCAAAACGTGGCATCAGTGCTTGAAGTCATTAACTTCTAGTCTGAGCCATGTTGCTAGATGCAGACTACTTGGTTGGGGTCCGCGTGACTTTCGTAACCAATGGTTGGAGACTCTTGGTGACATGGCTCAGAATCGATCACAATGGCGTCGGTGTATACACTCTCTGTCTTCCCTTAAACTAAGAGATTAAAATTGCTTCATATCTTTCTTTCTATGAACTAATTCTTTCTTCCTGTACTATATCCTTATTGCAATCTTTCTTTTATGTATTACCACCTCTGAATTAACTACTTTTATGAATCCGGTGTCCATCTTGTTGTGTTATTGAGGTATGGCAGCTTGGACAGATGCATATATGTGCCTGGTTCTACGTTGTAGCTGACTGACTGAAAGAGAATTGCTCAACATAGTGTTGAATGTTGTTCAGTGATTGGTGACCATACAGTAAAATTTCTCCTGACTCAAAAGCTTCAATGAACCTATAGAATAAGGATTTCTAACTCAGTAATATAGTTTTGATGTTATTCTTCCTAAGCTAGGTTACTTGTTAACCATAAGCGATTACAGGAACCAAACTTATTAAAGTCGTATCATGATCTATAAATCAACTTAATGAATAAAATAGCTTCACACTAGAACTTTGGCATTAGTGGTCTCAAGTCATTTTTATTGAGTGTTTTGCCAACATGGCTATATAGTCTGTTCTCTAATGACATATATTTAAGCCTAAGAAAAATCTACCGAGTACTCGAAAATTAAGATCAATACTTTGTCAGACAAATGGAAAACATAAAACATCAATACAATACAAGAGATTGGATGATGTTAATGTGATTATTATGGAACACATGCCCTAACGTAAATATACTACCATTTAGAAGTAGTAGAATACAGAACTAATTGTTTGATTATTTAAATTATTCACAGTAAAATTCAAAATAATTTTTTTCAGTGTACCTGTAATTAACTTTCTTCTCGTCAAAATGGGCTTGTTTAAATGTATGTCCATGTTGAATAAAGTCAAGGTCGTATGCACCACGTCCCACAAATGAGATTACTGACAAAAACTTAGGATTGCTGTTGAATCTTGTGTTCTACTACTAGTTTTCTAAGTTAAAAAACTACCTTACATGTTATAAATGCAATACCCTACTTAATTACCTGATCAGCTATAAAACCTGATTGATAAGTAAAGTAACTACTACATATTGAAACAATTAATAAACAATTTGTGATTATTATTGTAAACAATAGACTGAATATTTTGGTAATCCATGCAAGACTTGGGTTGTTATTAGATTGAACTGGTCTTTAAGAGTTACATCTGAAATGTCTGTTATATGAATTACAATTGTTAACCAACTTTAAAACAATTACACACAATTACTACAAGTAATGTTTTCTCACCTCAACAATGTAGTCATCTGCTTTCAGTTGAATAGGTTTGCCATTAATCTTTATTTCGATTATTGGTAACTTGTGAATTTTATTACAATCCACAATGTATTCATTATTAGATACTTGTATACTTCCAAGATATTTATTTATATTATTAATTTTTTCAGTTGGACCTGATATTAAAGCTGTACCCGTATCGATTAGTGCGGTACTTCCACTTGGACAAAATATTTTATCGTTGATTGATATACTTTCAACATTTTCAAGATGAAGTGAGAAAATCTTAGCATTTAATAAAAGATTTCCATGATTAATAGATTTAAATATGTGTAGAAGATGCTTTTTTAAGTTTTAATCACTGTTTTTTGCATAATGAATTACTCATAAGAAATGTCATTAACCAAAAATGCTTTCCCTTCTTGATCCTTTGCTCTTTTAAAGTTCTAATTTATGACCTGTTTTCCAGTACATTACTAAAATAATAGCGGTGAGACTATAGTTTGTGGACAACTTTTGAGTGACACCGGAGTGACCTCTCGAAAATTCAGTAACCTAGTCGAGTCTAAAAACGGTTAAAATTAAAGTTAGGGTTTTCACCACAAACTGACATCAGTTATAATTCCAAAATACTATTTAGCCATATGGATGAATGAATTTCGCGCCAAAATCCAAAACTCACTATCGTAAATCTGATTGGTTCGTACATAAATTATAGTCACCCAAGAAAAACATTTTCGTTGTTTCAATTTTCACTGATCTATCCAGTCAATCTTTTGAGCAAAAGTGTTTTTTGGGACGGACTAGGTCTTATTGTCAAGAGCATAATATAGGGACGAGCTTAAAATAACTGTCACAAATTATCAGTCATTTCTTAACCAATCAGAAAACAGTCTTTGTAAATGAATAGTTTTTCGTACTGAAAATGATTATACTACAAACTACATAAATTTTACATATTTATAAATAAAAAAAACACATAAATTCGTTCTTATGGACATAGATTATCGGTTTTCTCAAATAATTACCAAGACCCAAATAGATTTTTATGGGTCTCAATATTGTCCTTGATTAGGGTTAAGGATTTAAGGTAAAGATTAGGGGTATAGGGTCAGTGTTTCTATCACAAATTGACATGTCATAAGTCCTCTGTCACCTTATGTGTGGATGAATTTCGCTCAAGAACAAAAGAGGCACTGTCTAATCCGTTCGTTCATAAACTTTAGTGCCATCAAGTTAGGATTTGTTTCAGGATTAGGGATTTAGGAAAAGTGGTGATTCTCCTATCATATGTAATCTAATCCGAAATTAACATTGTAAATTCGTATTAAAATATACTCAAATGGTTTATATATATGTTTATGTACTTTTCAGTAGCAGTCATAAAACACAGCACTCCGGTAGCCACACCTTAGACTTTGTTGTATTCAGTAGAAAGGGTACTTGGGGTGATGCTTAATGAAATCACTGGGATTTTTTATCTTAGGTTCGGAATTTCTCCGAATGAGCTTGCTTATTTGAAAAGACATATTCATAAGGTAGAATTATTTTTTAAAGCAATCACTTACCCATCTATTTTAATCATCCAATATTCTTCACTCACAACGTCTGAATAAGTTAAATCACCAGTATAATATCTATCATCGATCCCACCAAACATTATTTCTCCACTAGTTGTCTTATCTTCATTACTGATTGGTGAAATTAAAATCAACAAACACGAAATCAATCATTCAAAGTACATCGAAAAATAAGTTCTTTGAAGAAAAATTGAAGCATACACATAATCAATCTATACATATTAGTGCATTCATATATGAGCCCCCAAATGCCCTGGTATGGCTGAGAGTGGGGTGGGCCCTCCCTGCCTCTCGAAATGCTCTCACACGGTCATGCGTATACAGCCTCTGCCAGGGAAGTCCTACTCACTGCCTTTTCGTGGTGGGGGTGTTGTTTACAAAAATGAGAAAACGAAAAGCGAATGTCCAGCGCTTTAACCGGATTCAAAACCAATGGTGCACATGGGCTCCAGTATCCTGCAGGAACAAATGGCGTATGGACCAATCGTCGGTCACCGGCTTCCATGGGACTGCATCTCCTCACGATGCTCCACTGCCTTATGGGTAAGACCTTTAGGTCAAAGGCTTGGGATGTGGCTCCCTAAGAAAACCACCTGCTTCGTTTTGGGCACCCGGGAAGTATCACAGCCCACACACACAGATATGGTGTGACGCATATATACTTGGTGCCCTCTTGTACCAATATTTATGTGTTCAAATAAATAAATAAATTCATATATGAAGTATACCATTTGATTAAATGGAACATGTACAAGTATGAAACACATTACTAAAGAAAATATGGTTATTTATTACGAAAAATTAGTATATATACAAATAAGTCCTCTCTATTATTTAGTTGAATAAAAATGTGTATTCTAAATTTTACTTCAGGATGCTAACTGAACTAATATTAAAACAAATAATCACTTAAAATTTCAAACCAAATAAACATTTCTTTTGGATTATCATTAACTTACAGATTTAAATAAACTGCAAATACAGGTTTATCTACTAATCGCTGTTCAATCATATTCAGAAATATAGGTGTTGGATTAGAATTTTGTGATCTTTGTTGAAATCCCATACCCATAATTCCATCAAAATGAAAATTTATAAATACTTGACCAGGTTGATGAGTAACTTCACCAAATGTTTGATCTACAATATTCAATGAACCGATCTAGATGATTATTATTTTTTAAAATAAAATAAATAATATATACATACTTACATGAACACAATCTGAGCTTAAAAATCCTGATGCTATTCCAGTGCCGTATTGGACATAAAATAATTCACCATTCGGTTTATAAGTTGAAGATTTCGAACTATCATACTTATGATGTACTTGACATGCTAAATCACTGGAATCACACATTTTAGATGGTATCCATAAATATGGTGATCCTGTGTCGAATATTACATAAAATGTTTGAGGTGGAGTCCCGATAGAAATCTCTCCATAATATTCAATCTAAAAATTTGATTGTAATAAATCGTATATCAGAAAGATAAAAGCCAAAAAAAGACAGAGATCCAAAAGAAATTTATTCTAAGTCGATTGTTAATTATGAACTTACATTTTGGTAATTTTCTAAATATTCAGTATATATTCCATTCTTTGATGATACCAGTCTTTGGAACCATTTATTTTTTAATTGTTTAATTGATAAATTCCATTGATGATTCAATACAGGATAAGATAAGTTTAAATGAAGAGATGAATGTAATTGAATCCTGTACAATACAATAGAAAAACTTCATATATAAATTATGATAGCACTAACCTAGTAATCGATTCACTGTAAACAACGAAAGGTAGCAATAAAATGAAAACTTTAAACAAAATCATTCGTTACTTATTTAATGATTGTTGGAGTTCTTTACTTTTATTTTCGTTCGTTCGTTCGTTCGTTAATGAATACCCTATGAAATTATCACAAAATAAATTCATAGGTTATTCGCATGATGTAATTTATCAGCATAATAAAAAACTCATAGAGCAATGCAACATTGGAATTAATGATATAGTTTAGTATTTCTAAATCATTTCGATCTTTGGCCCCTGTTTTTTTTTTCTTTTTAGTTCATTTCTTAATTATTGCCTTTTATGTACTTTTAATAAACATGAAGATTTTAATTAATCTACAAATTATGTATTTTCTACTGTAAATAAATTAGTGATATAAAGCTTAGTTGAACAATTACATAATAATATTTTATTCAAAAGTTATAGCACTTAAGGTTAGTTACGCATATAATGATCAGTAAGTAAGTAAGCTAAATTATTTACTATATATATATTGATTTGTTTGGCTTTAAACCAGATTTATGTTATTCATAAGATTCGGTGATACTCTTTGTTCACTCAGATCGAAATATGTAGACTAAGGTTCGAACCCATCGCTTAGTGGTTGCAATTATTGATGACACTTAATTAATTACTTACTTACTTACGCCTGTTACTCCTCGTGAAGGAACATAGGCCACTCACCAGCATTCTCCATCCAACCCTGTCCTGGGCAATCCTTTCCAGCTCCTTCTAGTTCCTATTCATCCTTTTCATATCTGCTTCTATTTCCCGACGTAATGTGTTCTTTGGCCTTCCTCTTTTCCACTTCCCTTCAGGATTCCAAGTTAGGGCTTGCGTCGTGACGTAGTTTGATGATTTGCGTATTGTATGTCCTGTCCATTTTCATCGTCTTTTCTTAATTTCTTCTTCAGCTGTAAGCTGGTTTGTTCTTTGCCATAGTAGGCTGTTGCTGATAATATACGGCCAATGGATGTTGAGTATCTCGTGTAGACAACTATTTGTAAATACTTGTACCTTCTTGATGGTGGTTGTTGTAGTTCTCCAAGTTTCAGCTCCATACAGTAGAACTGCCTTGACGTTCATATTGAAAACTCTGACTTTGATATTGGTTGAAAGTTGTTTTGAGTTCCATATGTTCTTCAGTTGTAGGAATGCGGCCCTTGCTTTGCCATATTGATGGCACAGCATTACAAAATGAATAAAATATATTTATAAAGCTTGTGACTTAAGGCAATATCGAGGCAATCCGTACAGGATGCACATATGCCAACAAGAGACTGATCAATCGAAGTCCTAAACAACAATGGGAAGATACAAACAAACAATACCAAGTGAATTGACGAATATTACATTATCAACAAACATTTAGAAGGCTCTTGAACGCATGAAAGTGGTTGCAAAATGTAAACATTCAGAAAATTTAGTCATAAGTGATTTGATTGATATTGGATCTAATAGTGTTATTCAACCCTAAATCTCCCTTTTAAACGTGCATATCATCAGTAGATGGTTGCACTTCATTGATTAACACTTAACAATCCCCAAATATCTCTTCATTACAAATGATAGGCTATTTCAGAACAGTAGAAAAAAAAGAAAATCGGTTGATAAAATGTTAGTTACACCGGATGAATGAAAATCATTATGCAATTAGTTAGTCCACCAACAGATAAAACTTAATTAAACACTTCAAAACAAACCTAAATATGAAAATCGATCACAACAAAATTTATTTGGAAGGGAGAAAATATAAATTATCCCTTACTGACTGTGTAACAGTCCGTTAGCTCCTAATAGTTCTCTTCTGTTGACTGTACATCCAACTCGAAAATTTACTGTCATGATACATCTCGATGTATCAGAGTTGTATTTTTCATTGATTAACCACTGAGTAGTGGCCGATTATAATCGAATTCGATTTATCAAGATTCAGTGTGGCTACTAATCCGAGTGAATCAAGATTGCTTACACTATTTTGCGACGTTCGGTGTTTGCAGGTGGTCAGCAGGAAACCACAAACAAAGGTTTTATGCTTTTTGGCACCCAGTGGTAAGGAGTATTTCCACTTTAGAGAGAACTGATACGAACTGGTGGATTAAAGACAGATTCACCCAGTTTACATCATGAGGCGTTAATACTGAGTCATTCGGGGGAGGGGAAATGATATTCTGTAAGATGGGAAAATTCCAAACAGCACGAAACCCGAATACATGGTTTACCCTCACCTAACGACTTGGACTTTATTTTCATTTCTCTTGCCTAGAATAATTTCAGACTTATCTGCACATGATGACCTATCCATTTTATTTCTTAAAGTTATTAATACTACATGAAGATACATTGATTGGCGACAGTGATTTCAAAACCGTTATTAAAAATAATAAAATATACTTTTACTAATTAGTTGATCAAACCTAGAAAATAGATTCGGATTGATTTGTTTTACAAGATTCCTTTCTACAAATTTTCCCCCTTAACCTACTAATTCGAAACCATTCACTTTATTCATAAACGATAGCTAATATAGCTCGCCTAATAATAAACGGGTTTAGGCACTCGTCTTTGAGACCCACTATTTATGTAAGGGTTAATATATTGCTCGAATGACTAAAGTGAAATGGGAGGAGTGCAATTAGAATATGAAAACTACCAGTTTATTCCTGAGTACCTTAAATGCTGAGTCTATCAAGGAAAAACTGATTAATTAATTTATTTCGTTAAGAAACCGGCTTTCAGAAGTGATGGAAATCCGTAGGTCAAATAGTTAGCAGTGTAACCTGTTTATGAAATACACTGACTACTTAAAAACATTGACGTGATTTTATCGTAGTTAAGTGTTAAACAGATAGTTGCTTATCCAGTTTCTTCTAAACCTCAGTTTATGCCATTTCATAAGCCCATTATTTAAAGCAATTAGTCCCTTTTATAAATTTCGATAGAACAATGAGAAGATGGGGTTGATCTGATCGACTCCATATTTTAAGAACACTGCTTCTCATAGCACTCAGTGATCAGATGTTTGTTGATTTTAAAACAATTTGTTTCTAGTAAACGAGATAAAAAGTACGTTGAAAGAGATACACATAAATTACTTCATAATATCTTTTTGGATGGGGTAATTCTAATACTATATGAAATTTTAAGAAGTAAATAACCAATGAAAATTATATCCCAGTATCTATAACGAATGAGAGGACCTAAATTCCAGTAATGATGCTAAGCTTTGTATCCAAAGTAGATATTATAAACTGTTTGGAGAATCAGCGAAAAAATATGTTCCGTATATGTTTTGAGTTAGTTAGAATATAGTTAACTCTTAGAAACGAACAATTCAAGACAAATAAAAAAATACGGCTTGAAACATTCCCTGTATATACAGACAAATTTTTTTATATCAATGATATCAAGTTAATGTTATAACAGTATTACATACGTGTAAAACTGTTTATTCAAAAATATGCTAAATCAAATGATTTTAACTATTTTCAAGTAGTTTTATAGTTTAATTCATGGTTCAATCGAAGCTAGACCACCATGAAAAACCTGGAAGTACCGAACAGCTGTTTCTTCCTAGTATGGGACTCAGCAGTGCGCATCCACGATCTCACTCGCGGGATTCAAACCCTGGACCTATCGGTCTTGCGCACGAACGCTTAACCTGTAGACCACTAAGCCGACATCCAATGGTGTTAATGTCTAATTGTAGAATAAATTTGAGATAATATCATCAAATCTTAAAATACAGAATATTTTAAGAAAATTCACTGACATTGAAGGGATTCAACCAGTTAGTTACTTAATTACGTCAAATCGTTGCGGGAAAGTTTTCATTCATTCAAAATTTAAATTTATTTAGAAGCAAACTATTTAAAGTAATGTCGATTTATGGTAAGAAAAATAGACAAATATTCTTCTGTTGGTCGGTGATACAATTGAAAAAAGTAACTTTCATTAAAATATAAACAGTAAGATAGATTTTAATTAATATAAAACTGTGACTGATCAGTCTCTTTTGATATATGTGAATCCTGAGCATATTGCATCGACATTACTATTAAGCAACAAGCATCTGAAGCAGAGATATGAACTCAGTAGCTAAGTGGATTACTCTATAGAATTTTAAGTGAAAGGGACTAGGTCTGACTGTTGGGGTAAATATCAAATCTGGGATGCAAGTACATCCAGTTGACGAATCCTAAATAGGACGAAACCCGAGTCCTGGATCCCAGCGATAGTCACCATCCATCTTTGATTCCAAAGCAAGGCAGATGACCTGGGAGATTGTACAAAAACTGCTCTCCAATAAAAATAAGTATTAATACATTTTATTAGTTACTTATGAAATGCAGTTGTCACGCCTAAAAACACTCATTAAACAATAATAACCAAATAACAGCAACACTCAGTGTTCCGTACGAACAGTAATTCAAATGTTAAGTCTAAGTTAACGAAATAATACCCTAAAATTATTCATAGAATAAGCGAGTTCTTGAAGGTAAAAATATTCTCAATGTATTTAAAACTTTTGCGTCAATTCGCATATATTATTTGATAAAGCTTTTCACCGTCTTATAGCTAACTGGGTTTAGACAGACGAAAAGAATAGTTACGTGGTTCGTAGTGTTTGTTGCAGATGATTTAATTCATCTTGTCGATTATATTTGCCATGTCCTATATTGTCAACATATTATTTGGCTTGAATAATGTTGATTGCAGAGATTTTGTGATGTATACCCATTCCTAACAGCATTAACAGTCCGGTTGTGATATTCGGGATCTTTATTTAGGTTCGTCATCATCCGAGCCAGTCAGTCGGTCGGCAACAACGTAGAACTTCGTACGTACGTACACCAGTTCAAGTGGCCATTCCACATTAGCACAGAGATACGATTGTCGATTCAAATCCCGTAGTGGTAGAGGTAGTAAGAATATAAACAGCAATCGGAAAGATTAGGGTTTGAAGATGTTATTCAGGGAGTATAATATAGTGAAATAAATTTGGGAATGGACAAAAAGGGACATGAAGAATTCAGATTAGAATTTGGGAGAACACAAAGAGCGGATGCACCTGCGCCATTACAAACGATTTTGAGCCATGTCATTCAAGGTCTCTAACCCTCAGTTACTATCGTTTCGTGGATCCCAACCAGGTAGTCTACATCTACC